CAGATAACAGCACAAGCAAATTGCAGTTTGCAAATAATGCCCCAATGCAACTAATAATTCCAGTTATAATAATTTCCTATATAAAAATACATATATTGTGGATAATATATAAGCAGTAATAAGGACTAACTTAGAAAATACTGCACTTCTTCCATGTCAATGAATCATAGTTAGGTATAAAGATAAAACTTCCTCACTTTGCTGGCAAAGCAGAAAGACAGCAGCTAGATTTAATGATAGCAGTTCTAATGGAAATTTAAAAATGCTCATTAACTCTCCGAAGTTTCAGTCAAAAGGCAGCAGGGGTATGCCTGGATTAGGATTTTCTGTACAAAACTCACACTGGGACTTGGGCATCAATGTTTGTAATTCTCAATGATGAGTTTTATTTGCTAGGGTTGCCAAATGTTTTCTGAGACTTTTTTTAATAAGCTCTGCATAAATTTGATCTTGCCAAATTAGCTCTTCAGGTTTGACATATGTTGGATGGATTAAATTGTCTTTCTATGACTAGTCTGCACTGTTTGTTCTGTGGCAAAACTGTGCTTGTAGTTCACAAGCAAACAGTGTTTCAGCTCAGCAAAGGGCAAGACTAAAGGGTATTTGGAAGGGGGGAAGGAAGGAATTGTATTTTAAACAAGCTTTTGCAGAAGTTTTTTCTTGACAGGTGTTAATTAAGCATCTAAGAAATGGAGGTCCTACTTTAATTTTGTGTACTTTCTTTTCAAGATGGAAGTTGAAGAAAATTAACGTTCTGATCACCTGAAGATAGTGATGAGGCAGCTCCCAGCAGGATTACTGAGGTACAGTATGAATATGCACTATATGCCCAGGTATGTAAAAGGCATCCATAAAACATGAGTTCATGTCCCATTAAAACTAAACAAAAATATATTCAGGGGGACACAGCAGTAAAACTGCAGGGTATCCAGGCCAGCCTTCATAGACTGAGACTTTATTTTATGCACCTAAAGAAGTAAATCTTAGGATTTTGAAATCATCTAAGCAGATTAGGCAAGAGGTCCAGCTGGGTGAAGATGCATCATCTCAAAGATGCAGTCTCCCATATCAACAGGCACTTGACTGCAGAATTCGCTACAGGAGTTCCTACAGGCTGAAGATGGGAAGAGCTAACATGTGTCCAGTCTGCCATGACCTCAGGCAGGGAATATCAAAGCAGCAGAAAGGCAAATCTTCTCTTGCACAGCCTTTTCTCTCCTTGTCTCCCCCATTATTATAAAGTATGAAGACTACGCTGATGTGTCCCATCAACAGTGAGGCAGCTGAACTGAGACTGACATCGAAACCTAGTTTGTTAGGCAAAGCTGTCAAAATAGGCAGTTTTGGAAGTGATGAATGGCGGAGAGCTTAAATATTTTCAATAGGTTTGAAAATGTATATTGGAATATATTTCAGTACACTTCAATACATTTCACCAGTAAATGGTATTCTGTGAACACCAACAAAAATCTCATTACAACATCATCTACAGAAATAAGTATTATATTCCCTTTCCAGGTAAAGAACATCTGGACCCCTTAGTGAATATCTCTGAGAAAGTCCGTGGCAGAGCTGGGACAGGAACCTGTAGTTCCTTACTGTAAACCTCGTGCTTGGTCCCCTTGCCCGTGGTTCCTTACGTTCTTTGTAACCTTCCTTTCTTTCCAATTTGTAGAAGTTGTTCAGCCGCAGAAGGGGGAGTATGTCTTGGTGTTTAGTGGCAGGTTTTTTTGGTGGTATGCCTGAGCCAACCCCTAATCTGTCACACACAGATCAATTTATAGTATGCTTACACAAGGCAGTGGGGCATGATAAAGACATACCAGAATTAGTGCCAGAACCTGAGGTAGTGTAGCCACTTTGACTTAATGCTGTCCCCAAAGTAGTTAGCCCTGATGCACGGCTCATTCACTAGGGCACACAGCCACACTAATCCAGCTGCTGAGTTTTGAGGATCCATGCCAAATAGAATCATAGAATCATTTAGGTTGGAAAAGACCTTTAAGGTCATTGAGTCCAACCATAAACCTGATACTGATACGTAATACCTTAATCCTAAATACTAATACTCCAGATGATACTGTTAGTTGAAGATTCCTGAGCAAGATAGTCCCTCCCTTACTTATCTCTTACGTTATCCTTGTTCTCTGATTCCCATCCACACTGTTAAACATTTTCTGATGCATAAGTTGTCCTTACTCCGATTCATTAGCCATTGCCAGTGCTAACCAAAAATCTTTCACATTGAGTGGACCGTTGTGAATACTTTCACACAAACGCATGGTCAGTCACAGGTGTACAGGACAGATCTGATGCCTGAACTCAATCAGAAAGCATCGTAGGTAGCTGGACATACATAGACAGATTAGGAGATGCTCCCGGCACACAGATCAGACCCTTAGTACTTCAAGTAAATGAGTCCCATTCCCCACATTCCTGCCCTATGCTCACTGCAGAATTACCCTGTTTCTTCCTTTTTTGGTTTCTGATTTTTTTTATGGAAAGTTATCAGTCTCCCCATCACCAAACCAGTCCAGACAGTGCCATTCCTGTAGCTTTGTCCTGTTGTCTCATTCCATTTATAGCTAATAGGAAAGAGTCTTAGAGGAAAACCTGCCTACATCTTACACCAATTTCTACTTTTATCTCTTTGTGCATCCCACCTTTTATTCTTGTAAGTATTTCCTGAGCGCATATTACAGATGTCCCACTTAGTTTTTCTCCGGTAAAAGCACATAAAGAAACCGAGCAACAAAGGCACTAGCTGCAATATCCGGTCTTAAATGGATGCCTATTCCCAACTCAGAATGCATTTTTGTATTTGTCTAATGTTTGTTCTTCCACCGTCATCAGCTTTGTCAGGCTAACATGCATTAGATATGGTCCCATAATGAAATCTCATGGCATAACCCACTTCTCTACGCACACAAAAGCTGGCAGAGGGAGGAGCGTAGATCAGAGCTGTGCAATTGTGTGGGATCTAAGCGTGAGGATCAGTTACTAGTTCTGAGGCAGCTTGTATTTGTGTCTGAACTTCCTGCTTATGACCATCTCACCACGAGGAATGCTGCCCTTAATGCACAGTAATAACTTCGTTTGGTTTTTAAATGTTCTCCAATACCTTTTGTGACCAGAGGTAAGGAAATGTTTGAAAGGTGACTTTGAAATGCTTTGTGAAATGGATTTCATTTCACAGGGTGTCACTGAACACTACCCCAGTTCTGCTAAGCACAATGGTAGTGCAACTTGTTGAGGGCGTTGCAGGATACATCCCCCAGTGGCTGGGAAAAGCCCTTTTAGAGAAGCTCATGATCTAATAAAGTCCTTATCATTGTTCATGGAGAGGGAAGGACTTGGCTAAGGTAACATCTAATTTACGCAAACACACCTTGTCACCCCACTGTAGCTGAGGGGTTTTTTTTCTTTTTTTTTTTTGGTGCCAAGATTGAGAACTGGCACTTTTCCAGAGAGGTGTGTCAGCGGTAAACGAACATGGCACTGAAGTATACTATTGTGTTGTAAGAGTCTTGCTGGAGACCTGAAGGTGTGTCTCTGCCTTTATAAATACCACGCTGCTTTTACAACTACCTCTGACTCTTTTGAAAGAGACGAGTTGCATCAGGAGTTGCGTTTGGGTATCTCCAAGCCCTGTGGAAGGTATGTCATTTGGTTCTCTTACTTTTGCACTGTTCCACTTGCAACAGAAAGTTACTGTCACATCGTTATTCATTTCAGTGTTATGAGTTGATGTATTTAAAACAGAACTGTAAATACTAGATGGTATTCTCTAAAGAGGGGTTTATGGAGGGAAAACCTGTTTAATAGTGTAAGGCATGAAGCATGTCAGCAAAGAACTATGCAAAAGTAGGACTGGCTCACATCATCTGCTACCTATGTATTCTAGATTCTAAATTTATATAACTAAATATAATTGCAGACAGTTGAATGTTGAAATAGGCTCCTTATTAGCATGCCTACACATGAATTTCTACTTTCTAACATGGAAACGTGGCTACAGAAATGGCTGTGATGGAAACATCTGAAAAATACATTTAGGGATTTAATCAACTAAATGCCAGATTAAAACCTTGTACTGTTATGGTGTGCTTGATCCTGAAAGTTTCTTCATAAAAAGAAAACACCTACAGAAATAACTGTGCTCTCTGCAGATGCAGAGATCAGCTTGATATTAATTTGCTGACTACCTACATTTCAAAGCTGAAGTTGCTTGTTTTTCCCTTGTATTTGGTAGCCTTAGACACAGCCCAGTACACCACAGGCATTTTCAAAAGCAAAAAAGGTAGTTCTGTTTGTTTAGCAGGCAAGGCAGTAAAGAACGCACCAATAGTTACTTTTTTGGTGTCTGGAAAGGCTACTATAACTTTTGTCAACAAAAAACTGAAATAGTGGCATAATCACTGAATTAAGACAATTTTCAGGGTGCCTAAGAAATAATTTTGCTCATCTTGAAGCAAATGGTTTCCTTCCTGTCTGGCATATTTTTGAAGAACAACCAGAGGTTGGAGTCAAAATCATTGATGTGCCATTCACACAAGGGGAGATCATAGTAACAGCAACTGCCTTATGTGCTATACCTTCAGATACCTATCTGAGTCTGGCAAGTCCCAGGTTTGGATTTCTTCTCTGACTGCAGAAGAGATTTTAATTAAGATGCCTCAGTCACTGGGCAGTAGCGTGCCCTGGGAGTGATTTTTTTCTATTCCATATCGCATAGATAATTAAAAAATTGGATCAGAAAGACCTTATCCATAGCCATTTACCATTCTCAAGGATAATCTCTAATGGTTCTAGAAACCAGGTATTATTCACACAAAGGCCAGAGTATTTTGCCAGTAACATCATTTCAGTAGCTATCAAAGAGCAGTGCAGTAACACGACTGAAATACCACAACTGTCCAATGGAGTCCAGCATTAAGTGAAAATGGTTTTATATCCTTCTTTGTTTGTTTTGAAGGCAGATAACAAGGAAAACCGAGACCATGAGGATCAAAAGCTTTGGACTTCTTTGTGTGTTGATTCTGGTCTCCCAGATGCTACTAGCCACCTGTGAAAGACAGAAGGAAAGAAAAAAGGGAAGACAAGGCATAGAAGACAGTGGAAAAAAGCAAACAGAATCTAACCAAGAAAATGAAAAGGGGCATAAGTCAAAAGGAGGAAAATCTCCTAAAGGCAAGTTTAAAACCAAAGAAAATGTTGAGTGCACCTGGGCAGTGACTGACATGAATGCTGCTACTGTGCACGTAGAGTGCAAGCATGGTGACAGTGAGTTCTGGTGCAAATACTCTGGAGACCCTTCCACCTGTCCACAGTATGCAGCAAACCAGAAATCCTACTGGAAGCAAGTCTCCCGATCCCTAAAGAAGCAGAAGCAGATCTGCCAAGACCCCAAAAGTGTCCTAAAATCTAAAGTATGTAGGAAAGGCCCACGAAGCGCTCATCTGAGGTTGACCCACTCAAGCCTACTAACATCAGTGGGTCCTGCGGAAGGGAGCACAGTTCATCATGCAAAAGAAGTTGCTCAGACCCCAGCAGCCACCTCTGTGACTGAAAAAAAGCCAGAACACGGTCCTCAAGACTGTGTTGAAGACATAGATTATATTGACCAGAAAAAGGTGGCTGAGGAATACTGCCCAGAAAGCTTGCTTTCTTTCTGCAACTTCTTTATCACAATGGTGCAAGACAAAAAATGCTGAAATTTTTCTAAAGCTCTGTATCATCCAAGTCCAGTCTCATTTAAGTTGCTGCAAATTATTCCAGATTTTATTCTCATGTTATATAGTGTATATAGGAAAAAATGAATATATTTTTCTGATTTTGTATTTACACAACAGACTAACACTTGACAAAGTTGGAGATGTTACAGATTTTATATGCATTTAGATTGCTTCACAGGTGTTACCAATGGATGTTACATACCCTACACAGAAGTGTCTAAGTAGTCTCCTTGCCTCTCTTTGAGCTGCGCTAGCCAAAGTGATGAATTCAGTGCTATGCACTTCTTGGTTATGTACAATACTGTTGACCTAAAAATTATTAAGAAAAATAAACTTCAGAATATATTCAAAATACACTCTCTCTTTGTGTTTAAATTTCTGTAAGTGCTACGCCTTTGTCAAAGATTGAGCTTTCACAGGATCTAGGCAAAGTGTTGCTTATGAAGCACTTTTTAACACACTTCTGCAGCTTTGCAGACTTCAGCTTTCTCAGCGAGGGCAAGCAACATGTTGATAGGGAACAACAGTATCATTAGTTCTCCATCACTCTGATAATCAAGGGCAACAAGTTTTTCAGATTTTTCTGTAATTTTGCAAACCTTCAGCTTTGCAATCTCATTGAAGGATGAAAGAAAACTTGGCAAACTTTTATTCTCTCTTTCCTCCTATAGTATGAAGCACATTACCTGCCAGAAAATGGGTGCAGAGACACAGAGCTAAACTGCCTTTGTACATACTTCAGCTGCTTGAGTAAGGGGTCCAGCCCTCCCTTACTTGAGCAGCTAAAGCACTTGTGCTCAACACTGCCTGTATGTTCTTTTGAAGTTCCATAGTTTCTTGTCTTTATGTATGGACAACACTAATAAATACTTTTCTCTTCATTAAACAACTTCTGTACTTTTTTAAAATCCAGACTCCGCAAGAATAGAGATTTTTAGAAAACGTAAAGCTAAATGATGTCAACTGACCTTTGCTAGTTTTTGAAACTCCAGCTGGTAGAAATGTAATATACAGTATTTTTTCAAGTGGCTCTGGGCTTGGTAGGATGGACTTCTACCTCAGTGATCCACTTGGAGAATCCTGAACTTCCATGAAATACGATTTCCTGAGCATTTCTAACAAATTACTAATATATCTGTTTCTTGAGAAAATATAGCCTCTTCCTTTCTGTAATTATCTAATTGCTAGAACAATTGACAGAATATTTTTAAATGGGTAGTTACTCATAACTCACCTCCTGCCACTTCCCTCTTTCTCTTCATTAT